GGTGTATGGGATGGCCTGGATGAGTGTGAGATTTCCCGGCCTGAAATTTTGTCCCAGTTCACCCCTGGTTTGAAGAATATATATATTTGTTTCTGTTAAAGTGATGTGTGTAACTTAAAATACTTTCTCCTCTCCAACCTTAATATGTAGGGACAACAATAAGTAAGCTTTTTGCTTGTTTGCTTATTGAAGTTGCACCGATATTATTTTAAGAGTAAAGCTCTGTTGAAGACACTCTGTTTTGTGTTGACAGAAAAGTGAATTTACGGCTTTCAGATAAAAAAGATTATTTTATTGCATAAATGAAATGGACACAAATCCGTTTTGGTGAAGAGCAATGCATCTTTCTTAGTGACAGGCTGTGAATTGCTGCGTAGACGTATATTCAGATGTGTAATTTTTAGAATAAAGTGAGCCACACATACTGTATCTGACGAATCACATTGGAGATTAAATCTGTGGGATACAGCTGAGTCAGTGGTTTTCTGTTGGTTTTCCTATTAAAGAGCCTTGGATGTAATTTTTCGGTTCAAAATGTTATCAATATTGTTCATGCATGCACATGTTTGTGGGTTATACCTTAGACTCTGGATTTCATGCTTAAAAATATGCATTTATTTTTCATTTATCTATAAGCAACATGAATTGGAAACATGACACAGTTCACTTCCATAATCTGACGTATTTTCAAGTGAAAAAGGACAGTTAACATGAAAATATATAGTTCAACATTGGGAATTGATTGGCCTACACAGTAGAATGCCTTTAATCCCATAATAGCTATTTGGAAATTAGTTCAAATGAGTCCACATGGTCTAAGTGATGTCAGACAAAGAAAGTTGTTTCAGAGGAAGAACATTTTGATGCAGTTTATAGCATTTTGTTTAATAAAAGTTTGTTTGTTAATAAAACCAGGAATGTGCTCTAAGAAAATACATTGACACATGAACGTCTTTCTTCTTTTAGCAGTTCTTTTTTTTTAATTGCATCATAACACAGTCAAACTCTAAAAATTACCCATTTTAACAGTTGAAATACTCTGAGCCACTGCAAATTTGCTTCATGATGATAATTTGCACCTTTATGCATATCATTTGCACAATTGTGCATATCAAAATCATACTTTCATAATGTCCAAAACAACCAGACATCGTAATTTAACAATTAAACTGTAGTACTTTGAACCGATGTAAATTTGCAACATGGTGACCTCCCTATGTTCTTTATCAAATTTGCTTTTAATAGAGAGTCATTCTGTTTTGCCCTTGGCAGTGATTTCATTTTGCTGTATTACATAGTGAATGTCACTACAGCAGAAAGACCACAGCATTCTGAATGCACTGTACGAAGACTTGTGTGAGAGATTCTGCTTTTCAGAGCAGGTGATGTGGTAATGGATATACTAAATGTTCAGTGCACATACTAGAGCACAGAGCAAGGTCATTTGGAGAAGTGCTGTGTTGGTGTGTGCTTTATGTTTAGCTCCCTCCATTACCAGAATGCTTGCCTTCCATGATCCTTACAAACAGAAAAAACAATGAATTTCTGTAGGTCAACCTGCAGACCAAAAATAGCTTTAATGCATACTTCCCCGTTACACATTATGCAAAAGCAGTATATATGAAGCAAGTAATACTGACCAATACAAAGCCAAAATGCAGTAACTACACCCACACTGGAACTGAGAAAAATAGCTTCATAGTTTGGACAAAACCAACATGGCGAATGTAGTACTGTATCTGATAGTGTATTTAATACATACTATCTCCTACGTATAGAACATACTTGTACATACTAGGGATTGCACCGACTAATCGACTAGTCAACTTCAATGCTCTGCCATGATGCTTTAAGCTTGACGTCGACTAGTCGCTGGTCCTATAGAGGGCGCAACAGGATAAGAAATCTTTGAAGGACTTCCACATTTACGCTCCGTTTCCAAACAGTTCAAATGACAAATAAATGCATATTCTGAAAGCGCTCCACAAGACGTGTGATTATATTACTGGATGCTCGAAATTGAATGGGAGAATGCACGTTTGTGAGAAAAATAACGACCCAAATACAAAATAACTGATAAAAAAGCTGTTATAGGAGCAATAGCCGTGTGGGCAGCTCTGTGTCATATGCCATAGCTGTGCACAAGGTGTTTGTCACAGCTCCAGACTTATTTGTTCATTAATGACGTCATCAGCGACTAGTCGACTTCGACTCGACTTTCATCACATAAAAGTCGACTTCAAAAAAATCAGACGTCGTTCAACCCCTAGTACATACTCAGGAATTCTGACCTCATTGCTGTCTCACTCTCTTTTAACATACTTCAAGCACAGTGTCAGTGCAGTCAGATTGAGTTTCCTGCTCAGACAGAGAGTGAGTTTGTGCGTTTACATGCTTGTGTAAGAATGCCTCCAAGTGCAACCTAAGCCTGTTTTCACTTCACATGTGTAATACCAGCTTGCCCTTCCTATGGTCCAAGGCTCCATGTGGCAATGGAACAAAATTGCTGAAAAATTCATGCAAATGAGCTCCTTGTTTTATTCAAAGAGCTGGAAACTGAGCTGTAGGGCAACCATTGTTTTTGATTGCTATCAGTATAAAGTCTCTCCATGTAATTACAGTTAACAGCTACAATGGCTGTAAGGAACATCTAACAAGGCGAAAGACTAGCAAATTTCACAGTGGAATCTTAACAAAATTACAGTGTTTTAGGGAAAGGAAGAGAGAAAAGTAGGCGTAATGAACAAAAAAAAGAAAGACATCTCATCAGGTTTGTCACCTTAATTCTGTTTTTGGGATATTGGTGTTGGTTCATCCATGGTAACAGTTGGGATATCAATCAGGTGTGTTGTAGAGGGCAGCATTCTAGTTATCATTTGATAATACAGTGCAGCTATGTTTTATTTATTATTGATCAGTAAACTAATATGTTGAAATAATATTACAATTTTAAGTGTTTTCTATTTTAATATATTTTAAAATGTAATTTATTTTTGGTAAAGCTGAATTTTTCAGCAGCCATTACTCCAGTCTTCAGGGTCACATGATCCTTCAGAAATAATTCTAATGTGATTTGGTGCTCAAGAAACAAATCATTATATTTATAAGCACAGTGTTTATTTGGAATATAATTTTTTAAATAAATTTAAAACTGCTAAATAACTTCAAAATAATATTTAATAACACTAATAATTTATTAACACTGTTAATTGTCATCTATATGCCTCAATTGTAGTATACATTATTACACTAATATGCTTAATAGACTTAAAATTGGCATTTAAAATTTGATTTATTTCTAGTTTTTTTTTTAGCACACAATATTGTATGGAACTTTTATATCTAATGTTCAGTAATTGCTGGCTTTTTGGTATAGACGAGAAACCCTAAAAGTGAATTCTATTGGATCTCCAGCCCAAGCATATAATGATGAATGTATCACCGGGAAAATAAACTCAGTCATTAAATGGCTCCATAGTAGAGGTCTTCATGGGTCCACTTGGATTCGAAAACCCAAAGTCCGACCCCAGCGGGTTCGGGCACAAAATTTCTAATAGTGCCTCAGACACGGGTCAGGTTCGGTATTAGCGACCTCGGGTCACGGGTAATTTAAAATAAATGTGCTTTTTCCAAATGGACCCGATAAGACCCGAATTCTTTTAAACTATCCCGGATGTGTACTTGCACGTTCATGTTAAGTGAGGAACGCACATAGAAAAGGAGCGTACGTTTGTAATCTTGTACACAGAAATCATCTTATAGATATCTTATAAAAATCCACTCGCTTCATTATGCTGCGTGTTCATGCAGGGCAGAAGCCTTTCGCCGGAGATTAGGTTGCAGACAACGGCTATCGATTAAATTTTTATCAAACTATCACGTTTATTTTCCAAATCCACTGGTCACAATTGAAAGCCGAACTCATAAATAACTTGTATCCATCAAGTAGGCAATAATATAAAGTAACAATAAATTTAATAATTGTTCAATAAATCAAAGTAATGAAGAAGTGGACAAATCAGTCTGCAAGACATCGGGATTTTTCTTTACTGACTGCGGGGCTGCAGGCTGTGCACACTTCAATGTCGTTTACGTTTGAGTCCAGTCAGGTTCGAAAATAAATGCCATCGGGTTAGGTCGAACTCGGGACTAATTTCATCAGGTCTTTCTCGGGTCGGGTTTTTATTTAATTTTTTTTCATTTTAATGCATGTTGGGTTCGGGTAAGAAGTGATTTGAGTCGATTCGGAATGGGTACAATTGGGGGGGGGGGTATGAGTGGTTATGAACGAATGAATGAAACGTTTACGTGTTTCACTCTGTCTCGAATCGCGCTCGCGGAAAGCGTTTGAGAACCAGTGTCTCTTCCGTGGCTCGGTACGCTTTCAACTCGTTTTTTAAGTCTTGAGCAAGACTGTACGACATTCACGTTACATGATTTGACTGATTTTTACGTAGAAAGGGTGACAGCGCACCGCATTAAAAGAAATGATTATTCATGTTTTCATAACCGCTGGCCAAATAAAAAAATGAAACTAAAATTAAATCATCTTTGAGAGCAAGGGGGCCCCCTGGTGTTTCAGGGGCCCAACGGAGTTGCGTATTTTGCATATAGGGAGGATCGGCTCTGCGTATTTGATGTAAAATATGAAATAGGTCTTACAGCAGGCAGTGGGTGAACTCCTCAATTTCTGCCTGTGATATTTCAATCAAACTGGCCCCATTACTGGTAAATCACCTCCATTTGCATCCCACCAGGAACCACATAAGCAATCCCAAAGTAGCCGAGACATTTCTCCCCCTCTCGCTCTCATTCTTCACTCTGTTACATTTGTAGCTCATTTACCCTCAAGCGCTGATGAGGGGTTTGACCTCCGGGGTTAGGAGGAAAAAAATCTGCTGCAAGAAATGTTGTGCTATGCTCTTGATTTCCTCTTTCAACCCCATGCCCTTGCTCTGTCTGACATTCTGACCGTGATAAATGTGTCTGATGTGTTGCAGGGGAATGAGGAGGGAGATGTGGATAAAAACAAGTGCTGTACACTGTGTAACATGTCCTTTACTTCAGCGGTGGTAGCGCAGTCTCATTACCAAGGCAAGATCCATGCTAAGAGGCTCAAGCTTCTGCTGGGGGAACAGCCTGCCATAACAGCTAAAGGTATGTGTTAGACACACAAACACAGACATGCACACACGAAGCATTAAAAAGTTTCAAAAACTCCAGGAGGGTATTGATATATGAGGAGATCTGTCGGAGATGACTGCATGTGGCTGGAGGATCAGGGCAGGCGTTTGAAAGAGCCGGACACTCACAGTCTTGCACTGCACATCAGTGCTCACCGCCTACTTGCTTACAGGGGTAATTGACATAAAAATAAGGCGGAAGAATGTGTATGCGTCTGTCTGTGACTTTGTAAAAGGAGCTTTACAGAAGCAGCCAAATGAAAGCAGTGAGTTTGAGAATACTGTTATCACACTGTCTGCATATTTGTATTCATGTCTGTGTTCATTCTTGCATTAGGTTTCTATGATGCAGTGCTTTGCTGTGCATTTTAGGTTTCTGACCTGTTTACAGCACAATAGCGACCTGCCAAAAATTAGCAGGAAACACTCAGGGATCTGTGGGCTCTCATAAATCCTCTGCCTGTAGGAGGATGAAAAAAGGATATACAGTGTGTACAGTAGAGAGAGGCTTCGTGTGTCATTTCGATTTCAGCCAATGGAGAGAGGACTACACTGGCTCTCAGTTCCATTCAGCATCCATTAGTCACCAGCTTTCCTACTGGCTGTGCCTCCAAATGACCAATGTGTTTATTAATTACACTCTTCACTGGACAGCTGTGCCACATATGGCATAGTTAGGAGGCCCACCACATCACATCCAGTGTTTAGGATCAATTACACAATTCTAACGCTTGAGATGGAGCCACAGTCTGTCCACTATCTGTGTCAAACTGATGTAATCTAATGTGGATACAAGGCAGACTAGTGGATGAAAACCACTGTTTATTCTGTGAGATGTATTATTATTGTTATTATTATAATTATATAGAGGTACTTTTATAATTAAATGTATTTTATTATTATAATAAAAATAATAAAATAAAAATACATCTAAATAAAGTAATAATACATTATTTTTATTATTATTATTATAACATATCTAAATAAAATAAATAGTACATTTATTATTGTTGTTATTATTATTATAATTTTTTGTATAATCATTTTTGTTTTAATATTAGCCTTTAATAATAATTATATTAATTTATTAATTAATTAATTATTTATTAATAATAATAATAATAATATTAATAATTAAATGCAAGGCTATGTAGCATATCTGGCTTAAAATGTATTACCACTGTAGTCTTGTTTTTTTCTTTGCTCTCTCTCTCTCTCTCTCTCTATCTCTCTCTCTCTCTCTCTCTCTCTCTCTCTCTCTCTCTCCCCTTGTTCCTCCCATGTTTCCTGTCACTGACTGATGCCATCATTAGCTGTGCCATCTGCGTCTGATGGCTAGAGACAGACGAGGCTTGTGTCCCACTCCGAGTGGATTGAGGCAGAATGAGCAGGAAACACTCGGGGATCTGTGGGCTCTCAGAAATCCTTCGCCTGTAGGAGGATGCACAAAGGATATACAGTGTGTACAGTAGAGAGAGGCTTCATGCGTCATTTCCATTTCAGCCAATGGAGAGAGAGACTGGCTTTCAGTTCCGTTCAGCATCCATTAGTCACCAGCTTTCCTACTGGCTGTGCCTCCAAATGCCCAATCTGTTTATTAATTACACTCGTCACTGGACAGCTGTGCCGCATATGGCATAGTTAGGAGGCCCACCACATCACATCCAGTGTTTAGGATCAATTACACAATTCTAACGCTTGAGATGGAGCCACAGTCTGTCCACTATCTATGTCAAATTGATGTAATCTATTGGGAATACAAGGCAGACTAGTGGATGATAACCACTGTGTATCCTGTCGGATATTATTATTATTAATAATATAAAGTATAAAAAATATTATTACTTTTTATTTAGATGTATTTTGTATTTTATTATAATAATTTCGATTATGATTTGCCAAATATTGCACATTTATTATAATAAAAAAATAATTTAATGATAAAATACATCTAAATACAATTATAATATTTAGAATTATGTATTGTTATTTTTATGATTACATTGATTTTATTATTACAATAAATGTATAATATTTGAAAAACAATTATAATTATAATAAAAACAGTAAATAAAAATACATCTAACTAAAGTAATAATATTTTATTATTATTATAGAATATCTAGATAAAAGAACTAGTAATATTTATTATTATAATCATTAATGTTATTAATATAAACAATTATTTTATGTAGATGTATTTATATTTTATTATTTTTATTATAATTATGCTTATGATTTTTACACAAATATTACACATTTATTATAACAATTAAATACATTTAATGATAAAAAATTCCACTTAATAAAAACTAATAATAATAAATTATTATTATTATATAGACGTATTTTTATAATTACATTGATTTTATTATTATAATGTATACTATTTAAAACATATTCATAATTATTATAATAAAAACAAAGTAAAAATACATCTAAATAAAAAGTAATGATAATATTTTATTATTATTATTAAAAATATATTTATTATAAAATATCGAAATAAAATAAATTGATATTTATTATTGTAATTATTAAATCAATATAAATATTAAAAATTACTTTTCATTTAGATGTATTCATATTTTATTATAATAATTCTGCTTATGCTTTTTCAAATATTACACATTTATTATAATAAAATCAATTTAATGATTATAAAACCTCTAAGTAAAAACTAATAGTAGATTATTATTATTATTATTGTCGTTGTTGTTATAAAATATCTAAAACAATAAATATTTACCATTATTATTATTTGTATTATTTTTTTTTGTTTTAGAATTTTTTATTTAATATTACTATTAAAATAAACTCCTTGTCCTTATCACCCTGAATGGGCTTATTTTTGATAATGATTGCACATTTATCCATTACTTATCAACCTCATGGTGCAAATTATTGTTTAATGGTCTTGTGTGTTGCCATGTTAATTTAAAATTCAGTTTCATTCTTTTCACAGTAAATGCAAAAATGCAAGGCTATGTAGCATATCTGGCTTAAAATGTATTACCACTGTAGTCTTGTTTTTTTCTTTGCTCTCTCTCTCTCTCTCTCTTTATCTCTCTCTCTCTCTCTCTCTCTCTCTCTCTCTCTCTCTCTCCTTTTTTCTCCCATGTTTTCTCTTACTTAACTATAACTAGCTGTGCCATCTGCGTCTTATGGCTAGAGACAGACGAGGCTTGTGTCCCACTCCGAGGGGATTGAGGCAGACCATCAATCCCTCTGACATGTGGCATACTGAGACAGACTAGCTCTGGCCCAGCTTAACTGAGCAGAGAGGAGTTCTCTTGAAACTCAGTAAGCTTTTCAGTGCCCTGGCAATCTGGGGACAAACTGTAAACATGTTGCAGTGTCGCTTCAAAAAAAAAAGAAGTGCTGGTGTCTCTAAAAGTGTTTTTAGAGAAGCATTTTAGAGAGAAAGATTATCTATTAAGTACGGAAGTTCTAAGCGGCCATGCATTATTATTTTTTTCCTTCTTGTTTTCTGGTTATAACGACTTAATTTTCTCGTTATCTCGACATAACGAGAGTTGTTTTCTCGTTATAACGACTTAATTTTCTCGTTATCTCGACATAACGAGTTGTTTCCTCGTTATAACGACTTAATTTTCTTGTTATCTCGACAACACTGTAGAACATCACTGAATTAAATTAGCCTATACACTTTACATATAAATCACATTTCTTATCAATATACATTTAATGATTAACGATAAAGATTAATAATAAGGAAAAGAGGCACATTACAAATAGCCTAAGTCGTTGAAGCCTGTCCTACTGTAGATAAATAGAACATCCCCGCTTATTAACTTACAATCATGTACCTCAAAGAAGCACAAGTAAAGATATAGGTGCAAACAGAATACAGTGACGTCAACCTGGGTTTTAATAAGCAGTTATTTTATGACACAGAACGCGTTGGTGAAACTCATGCATCTAGCAAGAACTTAACACACAAAATATTCATATTGATTCAAGCATTTTACATTTATGAATGAATTAAATGTCAGTAATGAACAATACTGCACAAATTATAGCGATCACGAGGAAGGTCCTATTCTATCCCAAACGCGTACAGTAAAGTGGATATAGCCTACAACACCCCATCAGTTATATTCAGGTCAATAGTGCCACCTGTTGGCGCAGTTTTGTAACTTGGAGAACAACTTTTGTTATGTCGAGATCACGAGAAAATGAAGTCGTTATAATGAGAAAACAACTCCCGTTATGTCGAGATCATGAGAAAATTAAGTCGTTATAATGAGAAAACAACTCCCGTTATGTCGAGATCATGAGAAAATTAAGTCGTTATAATGAGAAAACAACTCCTGTTATGTCAAGATAATGAGAAAACAAGAAGGAAAAAATATATATTGCATGGCCGCTTAGAACTTCCGTAATTAAGTGATATTTGAATGTATAGTTTATTATTGAAGTTCAGAATTGGAATGTTGACGTGATCTCAAAGTCTGTTCCAGGTCAATTACAAATAATGATGTCTAAGAGTTTGAGATCAAGAAATCTTTTAAAAATCTAGTTCGAAACACAAATGCCGAATTCTTATAAATGTAATCTTTGTATTCGTGTTGGTTTAATTTGATTTTATAATGAATTCTTATAACAAAGTTTTCTTGGGATTACTGTTTGATCTGAACTAACCTTGCCTTTTTATAAAAAAGCCAAAATCTAGGTTGGCTTTTTATAAAAATCATATAACAGTCACATTGTGACTTTAAAGGGGTCATATGATGCGATTTAAATTTTTCCTTTCTCTTTGGAGTGATACAAGCTCTTGGTGCATAAAGAAGATCTGTAAAGTTGCAAAGACTAAAGTCTCAAATCCAAAGAGATATTCTTTATAAAAGTTAAGACTTGTCCACGCCTTCCTAAAACGACTTGTTTAAACATGCCCCCACATATCTACATCACTGTGTGGGAAGATTTGCATAACGCCACCCAAATGGTCAT